TGGGAGAGATTGGAGGTCCTCCTTCCTTTCCTTAAAAGGATACCAGTCCTATAGGATCAGGATCCCACCCTTATGACCACATTTAACCCTAATTATCTTCTAATGTCCCCATCTCTAGATACAGTCACACTGGGGTTCAGGGCTTCAACATTGGAATTTGGGGAGGTGCGCATTTCGGCCCATAGCACACACCTGGAGCTGCTCACATAGTTCACTGAAGTCGGCAGGTGGGAAGTTCACCACCAAGGTCCTTAGACCGCAAGTTACCCTGTGAAAATTATTTTATGACTTAACTCAAGGCTGGGCACGTTTTCTGTAAAGGACCAGTTCGTGTGTATTGGGGGTTCGCAGGCCATGCGGTCTTCTGTGATTGCTCAGCTCTGTTGGAGCAGCGCCAGTTGACTGTGGATGGACAGCGCGCCAAAAAACTTTATGTGCAAAACAGGTGGCAGGCCAGATTTGCTCACACCCGTAATTTGCCCACTCTGACTTAAATCATATACCTGCTCAATAAAGAGATTTAGAAAAATAAGTAGCACAAAGTATTTTTGACTCCACAAATGAAAGTACCATGTTTCACGTTTAATGAATGTCCTTGACTTTTTCTAAAGATTTTTGCTCTTAATTGGGGCTTTACTGTATTCTTGACTCTGCACTTTGTATTTTTTCAGATAACAGAAATGTTCTTAGGGTGGATCTGTTATTTAGTTGGCACCATCGGGTGGATTTATCATTTATCCAATCTGTCCACGACTGTTGAACAGCATGGTTAGAATTTTTCTTGCCTGTGAGAGTGTGTGTGTGTATGTTTCTCTCAGTAACGAAACAGAGAATGGCTTTGTCTGGATTTCTGACTTCCTCGAGTGAGACCCCTAGGAGGGGAAGGCCAGACACGCTTGCTGAAAGGAGCCGCATGCATTTTGTTCTGGGCTCGTCAGAGCTGCGCCTCCGTCTCTGTCTGGTTGGCAGCTGGGGTCTGCTGTCTCCAGCAGCCTGGCCTTGCCGGGGGCTGCATGCGGTGGTAGTGGCCAAGCCATCCTGTCCCTCCTCTTCTGGGGGATTACAGGGGGTAGAGCTGTGCCTTCTCTGTGATGTCACTTGAAACAGCACTTGTTTCTCCTGTGTGCAGGGGGTATCATTGAACGTATTCCGCTGATTAATTCGACTGACGCAGGCAGTTGGCTCCTGGAACGGCAGTGCCGTCAAGGGCTCTGCGAGGCTCTTTGCAGGCTGTTGGGCCTCTCTTGATCTTGGGCACCATCTGAGAGCCAGTTTTCAGCTCACGGGTGTTGGGGGTGCTTAGAGGGGTGCCCACCCTGCCCCAGCCCACATTGTGCCTCTTCACTCTGCTGGCATCCGTGGTGAATGGGGGGGGGCCACAGGTTCCAGGCCCAGGATCTTGGGATGGGGGTGAACAGGTCGGGGCTGAGCCCTCAGCGGTCAGGCCCACCCTATGGATGGGAGGTGCACCCCAAGGCAAGCAGTCAGGTAGGCAGGCCTGGGGAGGGGACGCTCTGATTATGCAGCTTGTCTGGGAGCAGACCATCCGTGGAAATAGACGCTCAGTGGAACCCAGGCTGCAAACTCTGCACTCCCCACCACACCCCCCACGTTCCCACTTCTTGCCTTTACTCCTTCATGTGTCCCCAGATGCCCCACTCAGCACTAATGGAGCAACCAGCCACTAGGTCTGGCTGCTTTGAGCCAGGACTGGCTGCTCAGAGTTCTCATTACTTAGTGGCTCTCAAACAGGAGCCCCTGCCTCTTGCAGTTCTGGTGGCTGAGTGCTTTATGCCTTCATGATGGTACAGAGGACCCTGGGGCGTGCAAGGGGAGGCCTCAGACCTCCTCCCCCGTCGGCGCTCAATTTCTCCCGCAGAAACTAATGACATGGCCAAACTCCCTTGGAGGTGCACTCCGTCTCTGTCACGGTGCTGATGGGGACCACCCAGCCCAGGAGCCAGAATGAGAGCTGCAGAAGCTGTCAGTTTTAGTCAGTCCAGCAGATCCTCATGAGAAGGCCTGTTCCCAGAGGTTTGGGAGCCCGACAGGGGCTGCAGAGAGGACAATCCAAGGAAAATGATAGTGCAGTTTGCTTTTAGGCTCAGTTGCCTCCCTGGGCTGCTCTGAGGACCCTACCTGCCACCAGCTTCTGGCTTCCCACCCACTCTCCGCCCCTTTCCGGGACGGCCTCTGCAGGGTGGAGGCCTTGTGCATGCTCTTGGGCCTGAAGTGAAATAGCTGCATTAATGTTTTATTCTGCATACAGCCCCCAAACAGAAGATGGCAAGGTGGGGGGAGCTCGTGCATGTTCAGCCTCTGAAAGTTCCTATTAAAAAGTTGCCTTGCCCTAACTGGTGTGGCTCAGTTGGTTGGGCATTGTTCCACAAAGTGAAAGTTCACTGGTTCGATTCCTGGTCACAGCACATGCCTGGGTTGTGGATTCGGTCCCTGGTCAGAGAGCATATGAGAGGCAACTGACCCATGATTCTCTCTTACATTGATATTTCTCTCCTCTTTTTCCCTCCCTTCCCCTCTCTCTGAAAATAAAAGCAAGCCCTGGCTGGTGGGGCTCAGTGGAATGAACACCAGCCTGTGAACTGAAAAGTCGTCAGTTTGATTCCTAGTCAGGGCACATGCCTGGGTTGTGGGCCAGGTCCCTAGGTGGGGACGTGTGAGAGGCAACCAGTCGATGTTTGTCTCACACCTTGATGTTTCTCTCCCTCTCTTTCTCCCTCCCTTCTGCTCTCCCTGAAAATAAACTTTAAAAAATAAATAAATAGAATTTTAAAAAAAGAAGTTCCCGTAGCAATTTTCTTACCCAAACTGTTGGGCTGAAACAGAGTGATGGGTCTGCAGTGGCCTGTACCCCCAGGTTCAGCTGCTCAGCCCACAGAGGTGACTGTCTCTAAGTCCTAAATCCAGTAAGCTGTCACTGCCCTCCCTTGAGACTGACAGGACCCTGCCTTCTTCCTACCACTTCCTCACCAGGTGCCCATGTTCCCCGAATCTCTGCTCCCTACCCCTGAGAAACCCCATCCCACCCAGAACCTGCACAGAGCCTCAAGGGTGGCTGTCCCTGGTGGCTTCGACCTGGTTGGGTGAGGGGTCTGGACTGGGCTCCAGGCCATGGGAGCCGTTGACTCCCTGGTTGACATCTATGTGTCCCCCTCCTTGGGTGCACACAGGTGCTTTTTTCAATTACTTAAAAGAAAAGCAGTTGCAGAGCTGCTCGATATAAATCCCTTAAGCCTCTGTCGATGGTGACACGGGAGATCACAGCCCAGCCAGGATTCCGAAACACAGGCACCATCTGTGGTCTCGCCACTCTGCAGCCAAATTGCACTGCCAGCCTTTCTCTGTTGTGCAGTTTTTCATTAAATGGATTGAGCTGGCTGGGAACCTCTTGACCATAAATATTCCCTCCCTCTCGGCGTGGTTGTGTCATTGCTGTTCCCAAGTCTGAGCCCCCAGATTGCGGCTGGGAGCGGGGAGGGTGAGAGGTGCTGCAGCTGCAGGAAATTCCCCAGGACATTTATTACAGCCTGTCCTGCACCCCCACCCCCAGCAGACTTGCATTTGGGGTCATAAATACTTCACTGTCTCTGCAGAAAATTGAGGGAAGTTTGAAGGGCTTGTTAGGGCAAGGTACATAATTGTCTCATTTAATTAAGTGTTTTCCTGTCTGTTTCTTTCATTTCCATTGAGAAAGTGACAGTGAGAAGGTTATAAAAGGAGGGAAAGCTGTGCATTTAAAATGGAAATGAATTGTAGACACACCTGGAGATGGATTTCTCTTGAGCCTGTTTATTTGACAGGAGGCAGGTAGTGTGGCCACGAGAGTTCTCAGCTTTTGGGGGCAGCAGTGCAGGTGTCCCCCGAAGGGCAGCTACGCTAAGGCCTCCTGTCACTTTTCTCAGGACATGCATATCCCCAGGTATGTGTGTCCCCAGAAGGAGGAAGGACTGTACCTACTTTAGAGGGAGGCAGGTGCAGCACCCCAGGGTCCAGGCTGGCTGCCCCTGAGGACTCCTCATCCTCTGCACCCCTTCCCGAGCTTCTACACAGCTTCTGCCATCCCTGTGGAGACCCCCTTTCCAGAAATCTACCACCTATTCCAGGGGCTGCTCTATCCTCTGGAACCTAGACCAGAAGCCAGCAAACCACAGTTTATACCAAATTTGGCCTCCGCCTCTTTTTGTAAATAAAGTTTTATTGGTACACAGCCATGCCCATTAGTTTGTGTAGTATCTATGGTGCTTTCCAGCTACAGTGCGGAGTTGAGAGGTTGTGACAGGGACTGTGTGGCCCACAAAGCTGAAATGATTATTACTATGCCCTTCATGGAGGGTGTCAGCCCTGCCCTAGACCAGACGTCCCCTCTGTTTCTCCCTCTCTCTCACAGTTAGGATGCTTTTCCGGTCTGATCTTCACCTTTTTCACAGGTAAGCAGGAAGCCAGGGCCACCTGGGTTCCTCTTGCTGATTGAGAGCTCCTTGTCAGAGCCCAGATTCTGGAATTTTTGGCTGGCTTCTCTGGCCCACAACTTCCCTAAGTGTTAAGTATCCCCAGGATACCTGTGGTGTGGTGCCTCCTGCACATGCCCAGCCCTAGCGGCCACCACGATGCTGTAACGTGAAGGGAAAAGCTCTGAGAACATGGGGTTTGTTGGAAGGGTTGGTGTTCAGAGCAAAAGGGGGGACCCTGTCTGAGTATGTCCTCATCACATGTGCCTGCCGCTGGCTTGGAGCTTCTGGACACAGGGACACTCCTACTCAGGGCAGCATCTACTCTAGGCTGCCTGACACTTGTTTGTTGTCACCGTGTGCCAAGAACTGGACCAGAGGCTCCCATCTGGGGAGTACAGCTTGGAAAAGGACATTCAGCAGCCTTACTTTCCACCTGGGACCAGGAGATGCCATTTCCTGCCTCATGATGGAAGTGTTAGTGTGGGGTGGCTTGTCCTCAGGCTCAGAGGGTCTCTCTTCTGCCTTCCACAGTGCACATGCCGGAAGGACATGGTCAAAATCTCCATGGACGTCTTCGTGCGCATCCTGCAGCCGGAGCGTTATGAGCTGTGGAAGCAAGGAAAGGACCTCACGGTGCTCGACCACACCAGGCCCACGGCCCTGAGCAGCCCTGAGCTCAACACCTGGAGCACCTCCCGGGCCTCACTCAAGGCCAAGCTCCTCCGAAGGTGAGTTGCCAAGGAACCGCCCTGTTCCTGGCTCCGCTGGTGACCATAAATGACCCTGATCCCCGCAACTCCCTGCTGGCAGGTGGCTGTAGGCTGTCCCCTCCTTTTCTCCCTCTTATCCTTTCTTTTCCTCCTCCTCCTCCTCTTCTCTATCTTGCTGCTTCTGAGTCAGAGTGTGTTCCTCAGGCCCTGATATTTTTGCATGTGTGGTTCGTGGGCCTCAGCAGGTGGTGTCTATGTTGTTAGACTCAGTTTCCCTCCTGCTCCTTGTCCACCAGCTCCTGGGAGGCTGGCCCTTTGGCACTCCAGCCTTCTGGTTTCGTCTTTGGGATGGCACATGCTGTCCCTCTTCCTCTTCTGCCATGACCCTAGGTGAAAGAGCCCTATGTCTTCGTGTTGGGACTGCCAGGCGCCTTCTTGGCTCCGAGCGATGGCAGGTACCGTGCTTGAGCCATGGGGCGTGGGGGTCCAGTGCTTGGTCTGTGCGTGCCGCTGGCTCCTGCCATTTTGTCTTTTGGTTGCTCATTTTGGCATTTCTGATAATGTGCTGCTCAGATTCATAGCCGTGGAAATCCGGAGAAACCCAGTCCCCCAGGGTCATCCTTTGCCAACCCCATTCCATCTCAGGGAGCCCCTCCCTCCTTGCCCCCGCCTTTCCAGACAGTGTGGTAGTTGCCCAACCTTGTGCCTGGCATCCAGTGGGGGAGGAGAGGGTGGAGTGGTCGCAGCCTCTTGGCATCAGCGCATGTCCATGGGGATGTGGGTGGCAGGTCTGGGAGGAGGAGGAAACCGACCTCCTGCCAGGAATGAGATAGCAGTGAGCACTGTGCTCTGGCAGCACCTTGAAGCCCTGGAAGTGTCGGTCCCCGTTTTGCTCTCTTCTCTGGGAAACGTCCAAGCTTTCAGGGCTCCGAGCTGCTCAGAGTTCCAACGGACTCATTTTTGGGGCCCGAGGAGTGTTCACAAGTCCTCACTGGGCCCCAGGAGTGTGCTATGTTGGGGAGGGACAGCCCCAAGTCACCTGGCCAGCGTTCCCGTGAAGGGACAGTGTGGATGTTTCCTCTTAAAACCGCTTGACTCCACAAAAGCCGCCGGAGACAGTAGACATTCCATAAACAGTGAACGTGGTGTGCCCCAATAAACCTTTGTTTGTGGACACTGAAATTGGCATTTTATATCATTTTCACATGTTACAAAGTGTTATTATTTATATTTTTGAACCATTTGAAAACAGAGACAACTTTCTTAGCTGGTGGGCCACACTGAAACAGGCAGCAGCGGGTCTGGGCCTCGGGCGAGGTTTCCATCGGCAGCCGCCTCGTCATTTCTGGCCTTTGTCCCCTTTGATGATGGGTAATGGATAGCTGGCCCCAGGGCCTGGCCATTGAGGGGACAGGGGCTCGGCCATTTCTTTCGGCTGTGCCCAGTTGGTGGCACTCCCCCACTCTTCAGAAACACGCTTGGAACTCTTTCTGGGAAAAATCATTCTGACCAAGTGGTCATGCCCGGTCCAGAACCTTCTTCCCTGACTGGGCTATTCTAGTTTTCAACGTGTTTGTCTGTGAATCCAGAATCTTGGGCAGTCTTGGCTTCCCACGTGTTTTCCTTACCCCCTGGCCTCTCATTGAGAATGTTCCATCAGCCCTGAATACTTTCACATCTGTTCCTGACAGCCTGCCAGAAGGTGAGTCTCTCTTTTCTGATTTCTTTTATTGTCTGATCTTTTGAGTCCTGCTCTCCTGTGTGTCCTCATGAAAAGCAACTTCGTGTTGCTTTTCCTGATCCCTCCGAGCAGGGTGAGCTTGCTAAACAGAGCCGGATGCAGCATTTGCATAACGGCTAATTGGTTGTGACTCAGTCTAATTGGTCAGCAGAGCAGACTGCCAATAAATAGGCACACACTCCAGAAATGGATGGGGTTAGAGGACCAGGGGCCCCTTAACCAGAACCTCCTGTGTGCAGAGGATGTTTTCTCGCAGGCTCCCTTCCTGCCCGCTGCCCCATCATGCTCCCCCCGCCCAGGTGGCCCTCAGTGGGCTCCTGGCCTGCTTGTCACGCTCAGTTCCTTTCTGGAACGTTCCTCTCTTGCCTCAGCCTCTTTTGCCTCCAACCTGGGGAGCGGTAATATTCCAACAGTGGGACTGAATAACAATTTAAGTCATGTTCCCAAGGATATAATTTTCTCTAAAGCCTTCAATATGTAAAATAAGACTGATTCCCTTTTCTTTTTAAGTCACGGGGTGGCTTTCTCTTAAAAGGTTGATTGGGGGACTGTCGTTTCAGAGCCCAAGACTGCAGCCCCTCCACCTGAGTCAGCGACTCAGAATTGCCTGCATCTGTCTCTCCTGGTCCCATGCCCACAGTACCCCTGCCTTCCTGCCCCTGCCCAGTGTGGCTGGTCTCCACTGGGGGCGTTGTTCCCCTGAGCCTCAGAGAATTTGTATTGAGGGAAGGGTGGCTTGGATTAGAGAGGGGTAGGAGCAAATGTGGATTCTAGACCAGGGTTGTGTGCCTCCACCCCACTGCTGGCCCCTGCCCCCCTCCACTGTGGACACTTGGGCTGGTCATTCTCTGTGAGGGCCAGTCTGCGCACTGTGGGTTGCTGAGCAGCATCCCTGCCCCCTCTTAGTCAATGCCAGGAGGTCCCCCACTCCTAATGACAGATGTCCCCCGGTACCACCCAGTGTCCCTGGATGAGAACCCCTGCCCCAGACAGAGGGTGTGGCGTTGTGGTGGGCTCCATACCCATCTTCTGTCCCCCTGCAGTCTCACCTGGTCTTTTGGCCCTGCAGCTTCGCCCTGGTCCTGCTGAGACCGGCTTAGCCAAGTCCCAACCCACCCCCACACTGAGGGCCCAGCCCCCTGCCAGCCCCCCACACTGTGCCCCACATGTCATCTCGGAGCAGAGGCCAGGTGTCGGCCCCTCCGGAAGAGAACGGTCTTCTCGGTTCTCGCCGCCCTTCCGTGGACTCATCTTCCACACTTAAATCTTGTTGGATAAACCGACCCTGCCCCCCCATGACAAGCAGGGCGCAAAGCTGCTCCGTGTTGTGTGGCCTCTTCTGTCCTCACCAGCAGGTGGGATCCCTGCCTTTCTGGCACAGGCCACCGCAGCTTCTGGTGCCTCACCCAGGCCGGGTCTCTGCCAAGCTCTCCTGCTCCCCTTCCTTTCTACAGCCCTTTGCTATGTGCAGACTGTTTTTTCCTCCTGTCTCCTTGTTACTCCCAATGAGAACACTGAGAAACACAGCCCATCGACCACATGTTGCAGCAGGTGCATGTTTAGCCCACCGCACAAGCGTTTGCAGAGCATCTGACAGCTACTACCATGCTAGTGCGGAGAGGAAGACAGAGAGGAGACTTGCTTCCTCACTGGGACCCACTGGTCCCCGTCCCGCCCCAGCTCCTGCTGGCTCCTCTGGCTGTGACCTCCAGCTACCCATGGAGGAGACCATCGGCTCTGTGGCCAAGAGCCCCGGCCCAGCTTGCCCACCTGCACCACTTCTTACCACCACCCTCGGATCACCATGGAAACGAGGAGACAGGAGCAGCTCCAGCGCCCCCTTTGATGCCTCCTGACCTGACACTGGACACCATTGTGCCTCTGAGTCTACTCCCACCAGGGCCACCCTGGCCCTGCCACACCCCTGAGACCTTCCCCACAGAAACAGCTTCTGACCACTCAGGGATGGCCCTCTGGTCTCCGGGGCTTGCCAGGCCCTGAAGGAGCTTATTGCCCTGGAGACTTACTGAATTGCTTCCAAATTGTTCTTCCCCAGGACACCCTCTACAATTTTGCAATTTTTCTAAGACAAAAGCCTCTAAACAGCACCCGCCCACTTGGTGGTGAGGGCAGGGAGTGCTGGGAGGAAGGGGGGCGCGTCCTGGGGCTGGGCGAGTGGGAAAAGGGCCCTGGGGTACACGGCTCACAGCCCCTGCCCCCTGGCCCAGCAGCCTTGGATGCCCCAGATTCCCCCTGTGGAGTTGGAAGTCCTGGGTAAAAGCTGTCCTGTGAGTGTGACAGTCCTGCGTTAGGGCAGAGAGGGACTGTGGGCTCCGGCCCCTCGATGACCAGGCCCGGAGCCACTCCGCGCCCGCTGTGCACAGCAGAGGCCTACTCTGCCTCTCCTGCCATCCTGTCCAAGGACACCTGCTTCTGTCTTGGAAATATTAGTACAGGTATTTGGACTCAGTCCCAATTTTTGGTTTGTATAAACTGACTTCCAGTTAAGCCTGACAAGTGCACGTTTATCTCCATCCTCCCCTGAAATGCCACTAAAATGACTATAAATGAGTGACAAAGGATGGGGGAGAGGACCTTGACAGCTGAGCAGCAGTAGGAAACTTGGAAAACAAGGGAAGGATGGGCAAGTGACACCTGACTTTGGAGTACAGAGAAACTCAGGCTGAGGGTTGGCAGACAGCATGTGGCTAGTTTGCACTGAGGAACTTTGGAAAGGCATAGGGTTCTGAGGTACAGGCACCTCCTGGGACAAGTGGGCTGAAGGCAGCTGTGTAAGGGATTGTCAGGCTCAGCGCACCCCAACCCCAACCCACCTCACCCCACCTCTCAGCAGAAAACAGTGGCCCTGCTGCCTAGTGAGGTGAAGCCTGGCCAGTCCTGGGTGGGAGGGAGGGGGCTCCCTGAGGGTGGGGTTGTTGAAGCCTGGCTGCCAGCGCCATGTGCCCCGCAACCCTGAGTCCAGAGACTGTAGGGTCTTCTCTGGGTCACAGAGTGGCCCAGCAGAGCAAAGCTATAGATTCTGATACTGGGGGCCCCCCGTGAAGTGACAGTTCCTGTCCTCTCCATCCCCTTCAGCAAGCCCTACTAACACACACACAGCCACCAACCACTTTCTTAGTCCCTCGCATAACTCAGCCAGGGGTTCCTCAACCTCTGAGGAAACTCTTGAGCAGAAGACAGAGAGCATCTCAAACAAAAAAGAAAAGCAGAACTCCCCAGAGAGAGATGAGTCGATGAGCAGCAGAAGACTCGTCCTCCCCAGAAGGGGAGGTGGCTGTGTATTGATGACAGAAGTACCTGTTGCTATAAAAAGAAACACTTAGGAAAGGGATGGCTCTCGGACATTGAAAATGAGTGTCAAGAAAACGCACGAGATGGGTTGGGAGGCAGCGCGAGAATCTCCCGGAGGGTGGGACAGAAAGATCACCTGGAAAACAGGTCAGAGGCTCAGTCAAGAAGCTTGAGCCTTTACTAGGAGTTTCAGGAAGAGAACAGAACACTTCCTGGGAACCACGTTTTCAGGTTAAAGAGTCTGGCACAGGGGATGAAAATTGTACACACTGTAGCACATCACTGCTCTTGGGTTGAATGGAAGGTCTCCAGAGCTTCTGGAATGAATATGTCTGTCAACATAAATAACAGGGGACCCCAATGGCATTGGACGTAGCAATCATAATGCTACAAAAATGAGAAGAGAAATAATTTTTAGCCCAAAACTATGTACCTAAGTCAAATTACCAACTAAATGGGCAAGAGGAATACGGATTTTTTAGACAAGCAGAGGCCCAGGTTTCCCCTCCTTTCTGAGGAAGCTACTAGAGGGTGTGCTCTAGCCAAACAAGGGCATCAGCCAGGAAAGACACAGGACCAAGAAAACCAATCCAGCCAAGGAGACTCCAAACCAGTCTCAAGATAAGGATGTAACCAAGGAGTATGTGACACCCTGCATAGGAGACCGCATTAGAGCTTGGAGACAACCAGGAAAGCTAGGCCCTAAGATAGGTCAGTTACCAACTGCAGGAAGAGTATGTAAAGAATGCAGCACGCCAGCATGGGTGAGCAATATTTACAGAGTCAAAAATGTAACTGGGATTTCACAGCAACTGAAGATGGTGGCAGATGCAGGTGGAGAAGCTGGTGGGTGTGGGAGCAGGAACTGTGGCTACACCCTAGGTGTCTGCACAGCTCGGTAACTTGACAAAAGAAGCAACTCCCCCCACCCCCCCAAAAAAGGAAGCTGTCCTGGGGAGACATATGGAAGTAACTGAGAGAAGAAACAGATAAAAGAAAAGAAGGTGTGGTATCCGGGGAGCAGCTCAGGGGATGTGCTTCTGGCCAGAGTGTGTGAGGCTGTGCCTGGTGGGTGCCTCTCCCTTCTGCTCTTTGGCAGATGGGCCACAGATTCTTCCTGCGTTAATCTCCCAGTTTATGTGTTCACAAAATGGGCATTTTTCCACATGTTGACCTTCCACTTGCCTTCCCCCTGCAGTAGAGCATGGCCCTCTGCCTAAGTCCATTCACCTAGTTCCACCCATTTAGGGGTCTTCACGCTGGGGTGGCCCAGTGGTACTGGGGCTTTGGCACTGGGGCTGGAGGCCCCAGAGCTCTGAGCCCAGCGAAGTGGAGGGGGACAGGAAGGCCTGGGTTCTCTGGGACAGATAGGGCCCCAGTAGATATGCCCCTGGTCAGCCCTGGAAGTGAGTAGACAGGTCAGCAGTGGCCTCTGGGGCCGCTTCTTGGGTCGGGTAAGAGGAAGGGGGGCGGAGAGAGCACCGAGGGACCGGCCAGCTGCAGGAAAATGAGGCCGGGTGAGCTGATAGTAGGAGGACATCCCTCTACTGGGTGCTGCCTGGGGCCAGCGTGGAGGTTCGCTTTGGGCACCCAGCCCTGCAGCCCAGTGACCTGCAATGTTCCAGAGAAGCCCCTCCTCAGGTGACAGCTGGTGATGGAAGCCAGCTGCATCTCCTGACAGGTCCTGGGGCTTTCTGCCCATCTCTGTGGGAGCCATCTCCCAAACTTACCCTGTGTGGATTCTCTGGTGGCTCTGCTGTGGTGGCGAGTGTCTCTGGCTCCCGTGTCCCCTCCCGCCCCCACCCTGCCTCCTTCGCAGTGACCCTTGCACGCCATGCTGTATGTGACGCCATGCCTCTGCCCATGTTGCTCAATCCTTCCACTGCCCCCCGCCGCCGAATGCTCCCTGCTTTTCACCTTTGGCCATGGGGTGGTTCATGCCACAAACATCTAGTGGGGCTTGTCACGTGCCCACTGGGCTTAGAGGAGATGGAACAGCAGAGACTAGGGACCTTGAGTTAGGCAGCCAAGCCATGAATGACGAGCAGAGGTTAGTGTTAGGAGACAGTTAGCAAGGGGCTCCCCAGAAGCCAGCAGGAGAGTGGGGCAGGCTGGGGAGGCAGCAAGGGTGTCGTTGGGCCCTCCTGCTGCAGACACCAGCAGGTGGGAGGTAGGGGTCCTGGCGGTGGGAGCCCACAGGGCCTTACTGGGCCCCACCCAGCCCTGGTCAGATAGCCTTGCTTCTCCTTGGTGAATGTTGGTCCTTGAAGGTGTGTCTGCCACAGGGACGCCCACAAGGTCCCCACGTCCGAGTCTGGCCCCCCTGGGCCACATGGAGAACTCGTGGATGGAGGGAAGCTGCAGCCAGCACCTCTCTGGGAAACACTGCCATTATCAGGCTGCTGACGGGGAAAGACGGAAGGGTAGTGGGGGCTGGTTATGAGGTCTGAAGCCTGCAGCCATGTGGCAGGGCCTCCCCGCATTCCCTGGGGGGCGTCTGGGCCCTGCCTGAGCTCCTGGGTGCCACACACCTGCTGTGGGTCTAAAAGCCCTGTCTCCTCCCCAGAAGGCTCCAGGCCTTTGCTCCCCAGGGCCTCTGCAGGGCCGCCTTGGCCACTAGTCTGCAGGCCCACCCCCTTTGTTGCTTTCTTTTCTTCCCTTTTAATCCCAACTCTCCCTTGTTTTCACTAAGAACCCATTAGCTCAGCCTCAGCTTGACTTCTCACTGGAGGCTGAGGTTCACTCCCGCCACCCCCAGGCCTGCCACACCCTGAGCCAAGGCTAGTCGTGGAGATGTGCCATCCCTCCGGCATGGGCTCTGCCCTGGAGGCCGGTGACAGGGTGACGAGGGGCATGGGTGCAGGTTGTTCCCCGGGCATGGGGCTCCTGAGTGTGGAGAGGCTCCCGGAGCCGGGGGAGCCCGACGGAAGCAGGCGCCCAAGTCGAGGCCCTTAGGTGAGGCGTCTTGGGGAGTTTACACCAGTCCTAGAGAACAACTCCCTGACATTTACATTCTAGACAAATTAGTCTGAAAGAAAGCAGACACTGGAAAAAGACTGAGGAGGAGAGGAAACCAAATCTAGAGAGGAAGAAAGAGCAGAGCAAAAAGCCGGGGCTGTCGTAAGTGCACCTTTTGTTTCATTTGTTGTCTGTCCATTTTCCACCGGCTGCTGTTTCCATTGTGTTCACGCTCCCTGGCCCTCCCACCCCCACCCCATGGGGGCTCTTGGAGCCCGGGGTTTGTCCAGTCATCCCATCTGCGGCTGTCATCAGCACCCGCTTGACACGACCCCACTGCCCCTATTACCCTCCCCGGCCCAGGCCTCTCTCCCTCCACCACCCCTGCCCCATGGAGCCACCTCCTGCGGGCCTTTGTACCCTGATTCTGGTTGTGGGGGCTCCGTTCTAATAGCACAGACCTGAGGCTTCTCCCCTCTGCTCTTTCGCCTCCTGTCTGATGATTCTCCCTCTCCAGGTCTCACCGGAAACGTAGTCAGCCCAAGAAGCCCAAGCCGGAAGACCCCAAGTTGTCAGGGGAGGGGGTGGCCGGGGCGGCCCTCCCGGAGGAGACCAGCGGTAGTGTGAAGGAGGAGGCCGCACAGGAGGCCGACCTGGAGGACGAGGAGGAGGATCCCCAGCTGCCACCGCAGGGCCGAGAGACAGAGGGCGCTGAAGGTTAGTTATAGCTCCCGCCCACTCCTTCCTGACCCCGAGCTGGCGGAAAGAGCCAGCCTTCGCTGTGACCAGAGTTTCTGCTCTTTAAGAGTCTAGTGCATGTGCTTTCCTGGCTGAGGCATTTCCTAACAGTGAACAGCTAGGGGTTTCCATGAAAAGTCCCTCTTCTCCCAGAAACTGAAGAGAGATGGGTCCGTCTGTTTGGGCTGTTGTCACAGAACACCGCAGACTGGGCGGCTTCAAAACAACAGACCTTTGTTTCTCAGGGTTCTGGAGACTGGGCGTTAAGGTCAGGGTGTCAGTGTGGCCAGGTTTTGGGAGGGCCCTCTTTCAGTTTGCAGACAGCTGCCTTCTTGCTGCGGCCAGGGTGGAGGAGCCAGCCAGCTCTGTGGCCTCTCTTGTCTGGGATCCAATTAGTGAGGGCTGCACTCTTATGACCAGATTACCTCCCACAGGCCCCACCTCCAAGAGCATCACATTGGGGGTAGGTTTCAATATAATGCGTTTTGGGGGGGACACAGACATTCAGCCACAGCAGAGGTGTGATCTGTCTCCTAGAGAAGAGGACAGCCTGCTGTTTGTGGCTAGATGTTGGGGAGCGGGCTCGTGGTGGGGGTGTCTCAGAAACATGCCCTTCACACTGCGCGGGGCCCTTTTAGCCATGGAGTATTAGTATGTGAGTGTTTTAAAGGTTCTCACTCCCATGTTTTACAGTGTTTTCTTTTTTATGGCTGGTTTCATTTTTCTAATTTGCAGCTTCAGCTGCTCCCATGTTTGTACATAGCAGCTGCTCCCCAGGATAGAGGAAGGGCCTTCTCCTCTCCGGCCCTTTCTAGGCACTGGGCAATAACGGGGGTCGGGGTGGCAGATCGCCTGGCAGTGGTACCTCAGGCCCGGTCACAGGCCAGAGCTCACCAGAGGGCTCTGCTCGGACCCTCAGTTTCCCTCTTCAGGGCTGCGTCTTGGAGCATGGGAGCCCGGCGTGGCCCTGCCTGTCTCCGAGCTGTGTGTTCACCAGGATGCAACATTGAGGGGACTGTCCATGGGTGAGTCCGAGACAGGCACGTGCCCCCTAGTGTACCCCCAGGGTGATGCTAAGGTTCCCAGCTGGGGAGTGACTGTCCCCTGGCTGACAGGGCGAATGTCCCCGAGGAGGGCACTGGAGAGTTTCTGGGTGAATTGTGCGCTGGCATGTTCCCAGATGGCCCAACACACGCTTGCCTAGTGGAGCGTCATGCCCCTGTCTGCTTAGTGCACCCAGGAGGTCCAGAAGGCAAGATGGAGAGAGGTCGCCTGGTTGGAGAGGAGGCATGTGCCGGCAGTATCTGGGCCTAGGCCTGATCCCCTCCATAGAAAGGGACCCGGGGACTGAGCCATCTAGTCACTCAGAGATCCAGCAGGGATGCCATATGAGCCCCGTACACAGAAGCCAGGCCTCATTCCTGGAGGCCAGCCATGGACAGGCAGCGCCATCGTCAGGGTGCTACTTAGAGTAAAAGCACCCAGAGAGTAAGCGCCTTGGAACAAAGCTAACAAAAAGTAAAAGACCTTTACGGAAGAAATTAGAGATGGTTTTGAAAAGCAAGGAAGAATTGCTAAGTACATGGAGCCCTGCGCTTTGGGAGAACTCCCCCATGTTATCTGGAGGTTCTCCCGCTCCTTTCATGATCCCAGCGGGGGTGGGGGTTGTTGATCTAAATGTAGGTGAAGGGAGAGCGCTAGAAGAAGTGAGGTCAGGGGGGGTCTGGAGACTGGCCATCAGTTCACAGGACAGAGGAAGGACACACTCCGTGGCAGGTGGGAAAAGTGATGGCCACCGTTCTGTGCCCAGGGGGGCATGGACGTGCAATGTCCCATGTACATAGGGTTCAGAAAACTCATCAAGCTAAGCAGTGGATTGTTGAGGCTGCGTTTGATTCTCCTGGGGCTGCCCCATAAAGCACCCCAGATGGAGGGTTAGGGGGCCTCAAAAAGAGTTTCCCATCTCACTGGTCTGGAGGCCAAACATCCACGATCAAGGGTGGGCAGAGCTGGTTCCTTCTGCGGCCTCTCTCCTTAGCTTACAGGTGCAGTCTTCGCATTTGCATGGCCTTCTCCCTGTGCCCGCTTCTCTGCCCAAATGCCCCCCTTTGATAAAGACACCAGCCACATTGGATTAGGGCTACTCTGAAGACCTCATCTGAACGCATGGCATCTGCGGGGCCTTACTAAGTAAGGCCGCATTCTGAGGCAGTAGGGGCAGGACTTCAGCAGAGGAATTTGGGGCTGGGGACACAGTTCAGCCCGTAACAAAGAAAAACCTCACTGAAACCAAGAGAAAAGAAGCAGCAGGTTACTCTCAGAGACCCCCAGAGTTTGGGGGCGGAGCTAAGAGGGGCACATGGATGCCCATGCGCAGTGGTCCTTCAGGCCCTGCCCTGGTGGTGTGCGTGCTCCAGGAGGTAAAAAAATACGACCAAATGCGCATGTTCTGTGAGGCATTTGGGTGGTCGAGCTTGGGCTGTCCTGGGTAATAATGAGTTCTCCAAGGTGGGCCTCTGGGCCGAGGGCCTCACTAGGGAGGCAGGGGGGCTCCCTCGTGGGGGCACTTGCTGCCTGAACAGGATCTTCTTGTTTCTTGAGAGTAAAACGTGTAGACAAGACCGCAGGCCATGCAGAGGGGGTGTGGAGGACGCGTGCTCTTCTCACCAGTACTCACTCCCGTTGCCCTTTAGCAGCCTCATCCCAGGACCCCTGGGGCTCTTCCCAGAGGGCTTCAGGGTCTGCACTCCAGCGATGGTTGAAGTGTCATGTATGGTGTCATGTGGTGGGGCCTCAGTGCCATCCTTCAGGGCCGTGGCTTCCATCAGCTTCCAGAGGCACGTGGACCCCAGGAAGGATGGGGCCGTGTCTGGGGTAGCATCCCTGCCCAGGGCTGGCAGTGCTCCCCAACTCCAGACACCCGGTCCCTGTCCCACGGCAGAGCCCCGTTCCCAAGAAGGAGGAGTTGGGCTGTGGTGAGGTGTCTTCCATTGGAAAGGAAGTGGTCCCTTTGGGGCACTGGACATAGCTTCCGGGGCACTGGATGTAGCTGCCGCCACTAGAGAGCCATTGCTGAGATCAGGAGCATCCTGAGAGCCATCTCTTGAGCCACTGATGGGAAGATGACTCTGAACACATTGAATAAGTATTCGCAGTCGGGTGACAGCAAACACGTGTCGTGGAATGAGTGGAAGATTTTAAAGTTGTTTCCAGACTTCCTTTAATACCAGCTTAATGTTCCTAAAAGCTCTAAGTGCTAAGGATCATGTCAGGTGTGAACAATAATTTTGTATTTACTGTCACTCACACACTGACCACTGACAGTGTCCGAGTGCTGGGGGCAAGAGCGGGCAGGAGGAAGCCTCTCGGGGTAGGAGGGGCCCTGGGCTGGCTGATGGGGCTCTAGGCCTTGGGAGTCTGCTTCCTGCTGGCTGCCACCGCCCCACTCCGCACCCGCTGCCGGGTGGTCTGGGAAGAGCTGCTGCCCTGGGATGGGCCGGCAGCCTTCCTCTACCCCTCGCCTGCCATGCCCAGCCCCGGCTCAGGCAAGGGGCCGGAAGGCGGCCGTGCCAGTCCTGGTTTGCTGGGATGGCAGGGGCTCCTTCCTCCTGCCTGACTGTGGCCATCTCACAGGACTCTCGCCCCACCCGTGGCTCGGCATGGCCGCTGTCCTTTCTCACAGCTTGGGGGACGGGGCAACAGGGGCAGCGCCAGGACCCCGGAGGGCAGGTCCCACCATGGTGCCACACTGCTCCCCGGCAGAGCGCGCAGCCCAAGGGGCCCGCCCCAGTGCCCCCCAGGCCCTCGAGGTGATGGCAGCACCCAGGAGTGTGAGCAGCAGCTGCTGTGGGCAGTCGCTGGCCATGGAGCGCCCGGTTTCAGGAGTGGCCTGATGACTTCTGAGTGGCTTAGGACAGGGCAGCAAAGGCTGCTGTACCCCGCAGGGAGCAGGTGGGCTAGGCCTTTATGAGGGGACTGCACATTTCACTCAGAGACACACCCTGCTTCACAGGACACCCCTGCCCCCCCAGCATAGTCTAGCCGGGCCTCCCTCACCACGGGGGTGTGCCCTGCCTCAGCTCTGCATGGGGAAGATGTACAGTTGGCAGGAGTGGCCTGTACTGTGGGCACCGAGGCCAGCTCACCCAGGCTGGGCAGGGGGTGGAGGGGTGGGGGGTGTAGTGTCCCTAAACCAGGTAGCAGTCATGAGGCCACTGCCCCCCTTCTGTGGGCAACATACAGCAGAGGTTGAGCTTGGGATCCCAGCTAAACCAGGTGCTCTCAGTGCGTCCCCAGGTGAACTTTGGTGCCATAGAAGAGGTGTGGGGAGCCCCAAAGAACCAGGCAGGCCGATATAATCCAGTGGTGGGGGTGGTCTTGGCTGTGACGTCCTCACCACTCCTAACAGTAGCGCTGGAAGGGCCTCAGCTTGCCTGCTGTGGGAGAGGGCCCTGCTTGCCGCCTGCCCGTGGCCCAGACCTGACGGGTGGGAGGCCTCACCTGCTGGTGACAGGCTGACTGGGACACTGAGCCCTTTTTTTCCCCAACCTTCACCCAAGGATATATTTACTGATTTTGAGGGGGAGGGGGGTGAGACACATTGGTTGCCTCCCGTACACAACCTGACCTGGGAATTGAACTTGCAACCTCAATAGATATGTGCCCTGGGATGTGACCAGGGATTGAACCCACAGTCCTTGGGTGTACAGGATGACGCTCCAACCAACTGAGCCACCCAGCCAGGGCTTGGTCTCTCTCTTTTTTTTTTTCTTCCTTGATCCTAAGCCCTTTTGATGTGACATCCCTGCTCCATGTGGGGGCTGCTTCAAGCTCTGACAGGTAGGGGGCTTGCTGAGGTCTGACAGTGGGGTCCCTGACTGGGAGCTGCCAGGGTTGGGGGCGTCCTGTGGTGAGGACAGAGCCCCAAGCCTTCGGGTGTCCTTCCTGGCCTTGGGCTTCTCTACTAAAGGGCCGTCTGGCCCCTGTTGGCTCCCCAGAGCCTGGGAGATATGAAGAAAAGGCTGGAGCCTGTCCCTTTTTGACAGCAGAGTCTCCAGTGCAGAGAGTGAATTGGACCCACCATCCTCATAATGACACACACAGTGTGATTTCTATTCAGCAGTTGCGTTGCGAGGGAGGGAGGAATACTGAGTTTCCTCAGAGAACGACGCGTTTACCCACAAGTGCCTTCTGCACTAAGGGGACAGTGGCTCTAGGCCCGCCTCTGTGCTGATGCTGTAAGTTAGCCCCCACAGCACCCCGGCCACAGAGCTCCTGGGCCCTTGGTCACCTCCTGGTCACTGCCCAGGGCCATGCAGCTGTTACCAGGCATTACTGAGTAGTGCTCCACGTCCCTCCCTCTCCACGTTGCTGGATGGGGAAGGGACCCTTTGTTGTGGGGAGCCATCCAAATTCCACTTCTGGAGGGGAGGGAGCATCTATTGTTTGCTTTCCTTGGCCAGAGAACTTGATCAGACTCATGTGGGGCGGGTGGGAGGGAGGCCTGGGGAGTGGTTAAGGCTCCTCTAGGGGCATCGGCTCGGGAAGAACCCTTGGTGCCTCAGGAAGACGCAGATCTGAGGGCAGGGCAGGGAGGGGAGAGTTCTCATCGCCTTCTGGCTGATGGAGCCTCTCTTGACAGCCACAGGTTATGTCTGCCAAGGACCCCAGGGGCTGTCCCAGCAGCCAGTGCGGGGGCTGCAGCTGCAGATAGAGAAGGGCAGGAGCAGGGAGGGGCGGAGGCCGGGGCACCTCCGCAGGGGTTCCCAAGGCCTGGCTCGGCGCCTGGGCGCCTCAGCAGCACCCTCACGGCGGGTGAGCAGGGTGACGGGTTTCTCCCTGTACTTTGGGCTGCGTGTCCTCCGGCAGGGAGATTCCTTGCTTGATCCCTTCTTGAGGTCAGTGCCGATCAGGGATTGAATGACAAGCCCTCACCCAAGGTCATCAGCACTTTTTCCATCATCTTTGGCTGAGGAACAGGAGTGACATATGGACGGGTTTTTATAGCAAGAGGTAAAAGCGCGGGTGCCGTGCTGCAAACCAGAACTCATTACGCTTCCCATTGTCACCGGTTTCACATGGACAGGAGCGGATTCTCGACCTTTGTTTGCCCTTATTTTCCCAGCCCAAGACTGTCAAGCACAGGTACCCTGGGCCCCGTGAGTCCTGTGGCACACCCGCTTGTCCCGGGTTGTCCAGCAACCCCTTGGTCCCAGGCAGCCAGGATAGTGGGTCCCCTGGTTTCCAGCCTGTGTCCCTCCTGATGTGATATCCTGAACCCCTGGAAACCTGGGACACACAGATGAGCTTTGTGCCCGTTCTCCAGACGGGGCAGGCGAGGCCCAAGGGCTCCGGGGCGCACCGTGCTCCCAGCCCTGGGCCCTGGTGGGCTGCCGCCATTCCTTCGTCCTTGAGAGCAGTCGCTTATGCTGTGTGTTCCCCACCCTGAGCACAGCAGGCTCCATGAAGGCCATTGCCTGCCGAGTCCCGTGGGGCTGCCATGGCAGTGACCACACAGATTTATTTGCTGAAAGTTTTGGAGGTCAGAAGCTTCACGTGGGTCTCATGGGGCTAAACCCACGTGTGGCAGGGCAGGTTCCTGTATGAGATGTGAGGGGAGAATCATTTCCAGCCTTTTCTAGGTCCTAGGGTCACCACACCCCAGTCTCGTGGTTCCCTCCTCCATTGGCAGCACCCCTCTGACCTTTCTTCCGGAGTCACTGCACCCTCTGACTGCAGCTGGGAAGGGCCTCTGCTTTGAAGGAGCTCTGCTAGCGTGTTCGGGCCACCCAGACCGTCTCCATGAACTCAGTCCCATGTGCAACTCCGTCTCATGTTGCCCTGTCAGGTTCCACATCACAGGTCCCAGAGCCAGGATGCGGACGTCTCTGGGGGCCATGATTCTGCCGACCACACACCCATTCTGGCCCCCAGTTAAAATGCCATTGAAGCCGCACCTCGCCTGCTTCCTGCCCGCCCTGTCACCTGTCAGGAAATCCCCCCAGCGCTGCCCTTGCCGGGGCGGAAGGGTGTTCCAGGCCCTGCAGGCTCGTCTGGCTCTTGTGTTCCACTCAAGTGACTGCTCATTTATGGTTTGTTATCTGAGTCTTTGCTTTTAAAAAATTCTACAAGTTGCGTGTTTTCACTGTAGAAATATACAAAACTCAGATATCAAAAAGTAAAACAAATCCTGCCTCTTATCCCCCACCCCTTGAGAAAGATACCTCCCTTTCTTCCACCTCAAGCTAATTTCAGAAGATTCTTTGAGCACCTGCAGAGCCCAGAGGGTGGGGGCTCCCCCAAGGCTCGGGTGCAGCTGGTTTCCTGCCAGGATGACCTGGAAGTGGTTTGAACTTGCCCGAAGCCTCTGTTCCTTTGGGGAAGGCTAGAGGAGGCCTCCCCCACCTCTAGAGAGCTCCCACCTGGGCCGGGGGCTCGCAGGAGATGCGTGGCCCCCGGCCTCAGCTGTGATCGGCCCTTCTTGTCTTCTCACAGAGGACAGGAGGGGCAAGCTGCGGCCAGCCAAGGCCCGGAGCGACCGGAAGAAGAAGAGCCCCGTGCACGCTCACCACCCTCTCCTGCCCCAGCTGCCGCCACCACTGCCTACCCAGTTCCCCACTGAGGAGGTGCCGCCCCCGCCACTGGAGCCCCCAGTGCTGACCCCTGGCCCTGAAGCCACTGAAGAGAGCCCCCCGCCACCGCCCCTCAATGTCGTGCCCCCCGAGGCACCTGGTGAGGAGCTGGAGCTGAAGCCGCGCCCCATCATTCCCATGTTGTATGTGGTGCCGTGGGCCAACCCAGCCACGTGTGACAAAGGTCGAGTGTCCTGCCAGCAGGCCTCTGAGCACTTTGCCCAGAAGGGCTCCACCTGGAAGGAGCAGATGGCCCCCATGGAGCTGACGGGGCCTGAGGAGGAGAGCGGAGCCGGTGAAGTGCAGGTGGGATGCCCTCAAGGGCCCCTGGGGCTGGGGGTTCCGCCTGTCCCTGTGCAGTGACCGCAGGGCCCCTGCTTGTGGAACGGCCCCCACGGCTCCTCCGCGGCCTGTAGCATATGTGTGGTTTAGAAATCACAGCGGCTCCTGCTGCCTCTTCCTGGGGTCTCTCACCCCCTACTCAGGAAACTGAAGTACTGCTGACTGAGCTCTGTTCCGATCCCCGAGCTGTGACTCAAAGACGCTTCCTATTCTGTGTTTCAGGCGCCATCAACATTTTCTAAGTTGAAGATGGAGATCAAGAAGAGCCGGCGCCACCCTTTGGGCAAACCACCCACCCGGTCCCCTCTGTCAGTGGTCAAGCAGGAGGCATCCAGTGATGAGGGTGAGGGAGGGTGCTGTCCCCTGCCTGGTCTGCTTGGGCCGCAGGCTGCATGTAACTCCCCCTCTCACCTGGCACCTACCCCCAGGCCCCCTCTGCCACCTGCCCCCCTGGTCGCCCCCGCTGCCCACCTTCTTAAGTCCGGCCCTCAGCCTCTGTCACCAGACTGCCTGGCCCTCAGACGCAGCCCCCCCCCACACCTTCTACAGGGCTACCCCATGGCTCTGTCCCCTACAACCCCATTTGCCCTGTTTCCCACAATGGGGTGTTTGCTTGTCCTGGGTCCAGGACCTGAATGTGACCCATGAGGGAAAGGCTGCAGCCTGTCTGAGCTCTGATGCTAGTCCACTGCCCAGAGCCCAGGACCGTGAGTGCCATGCAGCGCTCTGCGACTCGATGTCCCCAACTGTAAAATGGGAGCTGCTGGCCCTCCCAGGAGTCCTGCCAGGAAGGTGCATGGAGCTGAGATGAGGTCATTGCTGTTGGGGCTGTTGTTGTCCTTGACCCCAGGCACTCCTACTCTCTACTGTAAGCTCTGCCCCTTTAAGCAGACACCATTTAAGCCCCGCCCCACTACCAAAACTCCTGTGGCCCCCAAGGTGTGTGAAGATCCTGTCACATCCTCTAACGGCCCCAGGATCTGCTCAGATGATGGGCATGGAGTGGAGGTTCCAGAACATTCACAGAGCAGACAAATGGGCGAGTGAGTGGAAGGAAACACCCAGCCCACACCTGTTCTGAGCAAGGGGCAGAAGTGCAGCCGCACCCTCCAGCTTTAGGTTTGAGGAATGGACTGAATTAGAAGGTTACAGAGCTGCATGGGGTCTGAGGACTTGCTCATTTCCAAGTTCATTTCCAGTAGAATGTCCTGTCTCTTCAGTCCGGGTGCCTATTAATGCCTTTAGGTGCAAGGAGGCAGCCCCTGTTTTTGCTTGTTGACTAGAGGAAACCTTTGCATCACCCCTCCCTAGGCAGGCAGCTATTACTGGGGACACCCAGGGCTCCAACCTATGGCTGGCCATGGGTGGGTGACACAGGGCTCAGGAGCCGCCAGTCGCAGCAGAAGCAATTTTTCCTGAGCGCAGCTGCAGACCTTGGTGAGGCTGGAACAATGAATGGGCTGTGGGAACTGGAGCTGACGGGGCAGAGGCCAGGAGATGAGCAGCTTGCATTTAACACTCAGCTGAGAGTCAGAGCCGCTATCTCGTGGGCAGGAACCCTGGGAAGCCAATTTTTCATCTTCCGCTTTAGCCCTCCACTTAGGATGCACATGGAATTTGGCAGTCATCTGGATGCCTTCTTTTATTGTGAATCTAACATGAAGGCTAGTGTGGGGAGGGTTCTAGAAGCTCCGTGGATCACAGGACCCAGCCGCCAGATATAGAAGGGACCTTGAGGAAAACAAGATGTGCCCTGAGTTCCTCCAGGTGGCCTCGGCTTTACAGTCAGGAGGGCCATGTATCAGTCATGCTGGCCCAGCCACTGAGGGTTGGGGCCTCAGGACTGAGCATCAGCTTCTCAGGGCAGGCTCCCGGGGGGCAGGGAACCGAAAGTGCTCAGGAAACCCAGCGATGGGACGGTGGGGGTGGGGCTGGTCATGGAGGCCCCAGGCAACACCGGGGGGCGGGGGGGCAGAAGAGACGCCTGTGCCATCTTAACCTTAATAGGGCTTTCCAGCGATGCCACCCCTGCCCTGACTTCCAGCCACACTTCTCTTTGGCCCCCTTAAGCTCACATGTCTGCACCTGACCTGCCAAGGCCTGGGTGGCTTGGTGGCCCCTTTGCAGAGAGATTCAGGGGCTGTGTAAGTGGGGACCCATCAGCACAAATGCTTGTGGCAGTGAGACGCCTGCCCTTTGAGGCAGGGGGTGGGTCCTCAGGCATGGCTTAACCTTCTGCCCCCACCCCCTTACTCTAGAAGCCTTCCCTTTCTCCGGGGAGGAGGACATGAGTGACCCCGAGGCCTTGAGGTCCCTGCTGTCCCTGCAATGGAAGAACAAAGCGGCCAGCTTCCAAGCCGAGAGGAAGTTCAACGCGGTGGCTGCCCTGACCGAGCCCTACTGCGCCATCTGCACCCTCTTCTACCCGTACAGCCAGGTGGGCGTGTGGCCTCAGGGTGCCCCGCAGCACCTGTCTGCCCTCCGAGGTGCCAGTGCTGCTCTACCTGAGAGGGGCTCTGGGGCAGGTGGTGGGGAAGGAGGCCCTATTTGCTGGAGGGGCCACAGTGGGATCAGCTGAGAGCCCAGAGGACGGGTTGGGGTGGGACAGTCATGGGACAGCAGGCAGAAGCCCTTGGCAGTTCCGGGTGCGCTGGCACCTCCCGTGTGAGGGCCGTAGGGAAGGGGCCCAGTTTCTGAGTCTTATCTGAAGGTGACTTGTCAATGGGCAAAACATGGGGCTTTGGACAGACAGGTCGGGGGATGCTGTGGAAGTGTCACAACCACTGTCCTCAGAAAGGTCCTCAGCGTGGCCTGGGGTTGGTGCCGGCTGGAGCCCCGAGCGGGTGAGTGGTGGCCAGCCGAGCCCCAGAGGTGGGCGGGGCCAGGGCGAAGACCCCCGCTTGGCCCGGTTGGGACACCAGTGCCATGAAGACCTGATCCAGTTCCCCTCAGCCAGGCACCGCGTCCGCACACTTTCCAGGCCAGGGCCCCCTCTGCCCCATGTTTTCCTGGGTTGGGAACCTGGCCTCTTCCTGCACTTTTGTCCTGTACCATCAGCCTGCCCAGCTGCCCTCTCAGCCTCTTGTTTCACCCGCGGCCCCTGCCCCGGCCCCGACCGTTGCCTGCCTTCCGGCATTTTTCTCCCCACCGCAGGCCCCCTGTCCTTCCTGTTAGCACCTCACCGTGGCCAGAACAGATGTTTGGGGGGCTGCTCTGTCCATACACTCCCTGGCCGGAGACTCTGCCGGGCTCACCATGGCCTTTGGCCTGGCCACATGCCCCCACGGCCTTCCTTAAGCCATGACATCTGCCCCTACTCTCCCCACCCCACACAGCAGCAGTGTCCTCTGTGATGTCCCCCAGGGTCTCCCACCCAATCAGCCCCCTGCCTTGCCAGACAGATTTTTGTTCATTCTTTGAGTTCACTCAACTGCTCCCTCTTCCAGGAAGCCTTCCCAGGCCTGCTCTCCCCAGGCTGGCTCTGGGATGTCCCACTCTGGGCTCCCCTGGCCTTCCTCTGCTCTTGCTCTTTGCCTGTGTGTTTATCAACCCCTGGAGTGTGAATCCCAGGAGGACGCAGCCAGGCCTTGCTCACTTTTTCGGGTCCCCTGCTCCTAGCCTAGTGCCCGATGCCTTCTGCACATTAGCTCAGCTGCCCCAAGGCCTGCGCCCCATGCCGACGGCGGTGTGTCCGTCTCCAGAGCTGCCTGGACCCACTGTCTCTTAGCACATTCAATATCTGGAGGAGGAAATGAGTAATATCCAAATGTCCTCTCCAGCACATCTCTCCTCAGTGCTGCTGGAGGGGCTTCCAGGAGTCAGAGTGCTCGGACCTGCAGCTTCAGGGGTGAACCGTCTTCATTCCAGCTGTTACGCAAAGAATCGTGACTTTAATCAGCCACAGTACCAGTGGCTTTATAGGGCATTCGCTTCTGAAACCTAGAGTCTTTAGACCCGGGAACCAAGTCTTGCTGGCCCTCGTAGCAGGGCTACGGCTGGACAGCCTGCCTGTTTGGAAACGAAAGTCATTCTTGACTAATGGAGGCCGCTTAGAGTGGTGGGGAGAGCTGATGTGAGGCTCTGATTTCAAAGCTAGTCTCCTGGTCTGAGGTGCCACCATCCCCCCAACACCTGGCAGGTCATGCTGAAGGTCCCAGACTGGAGCGCGCTCTTCCGGGGTCAGGAGCAGGGGCAAATCCCCCTGTCGCTCCCTGGAGGTCATCGGGGAGCCCCTCCACCCTGTAACAGGCCTGGGTTGGGTGCTGGATCCTGGTGCTGCGGGCAGGACGATCTCACCACGTTCTCTTCATGGGATGAGAGCTGGAGAACTTGCTGAAGCTGGGGTACAACCATCATGGGGTACAATTGGAGGTGGGGGAACACCTGCGTAGGTACACAGATGGCATGCCTTCAGGTGATGATCAGGACCACAAAGACAGCAGCGCCGATGAGCTGGGACTGCTGGTCACAGGGGCAGGGCGGGGTCCAGGACAGAGATCTGAGGGCTCCAGGCAGAGGGAAAGAGTGTGCAAAGGTTCTGGGGCAGGACAGCCCCTGGCAGCTGGAGTGTTGGAAGAGCAAGGCCCTTGTGGCTCGGGGAAGAGGGGAAGGGGCTGCAGAGGCAACGGGGGGAGGGGCAGCAGGAAGGTGCCGGTGCCGTGTTCGGATGTGACTCTGGTGAAGGGTTTTCAGCGGGGGCAGGACAGGATCTATGTTTGGGAGAGCAGAGTTGAGGGTTGGGCAGGTAGGGCTGGCGCACTGGGGAAGCCCTCCAGGGGCAGCTTCAGGGGCGGGAGGCCCCGGTGTAGCAGCAGGGAAGGTGGGAGGCAGGCCAGGGCTGTTTGGCTATAGAAACTGCATGAGGGACAGACCAAGAGAGGCAAGGATGACCCCGAGGTCTGGTTTAATGTTGACAAGGGGCCCCCCAAAGGGCTCTCCACTAAAGGCACCCCACTTCTACAGTCTCTACAGATGGAGAAGGAGGTCCCACAGGCCTCCCTCGGGGAGGGCCCCTCCGTACCACCTTCCAAATGCGGCCAGAAGACACGGCCACTGATCCCCGAAATGTGCTTCACCTCCAGCGCTGAGAACACAGAGCCACTCCCAGCCAACTCCTACATCGGTGACGATGGGACCAGCCTGCTGATCGCCTGCGCCAAGTGCTGCCTGCAGGTCCATGCCAGTGAGTGGGGTCCTGGATGACAGGCAGCCTGGGCTGGAGGAGGACTGTGGGGGCTGCAGCGTGTGGCCCCTGCTAGCCCTCCTAGGGCGACCGCCCTTGCGTCCGTGGATCGGGGAGCCCCTTCCTTCCTCCTGAGCTGCTTTTTTGGAGCTTTCATAGGACCTGGCGTCATAGGGCAGGGTCTTGGCCTTCATAGTCAGGCTTCCTGTCCTTCCCCCTGGCCAAGGTGGGCCTGCCAGGTCAGCCCCCTTTCTGGACTGTTCTGTTGACCCCTGCCCTGCCCTGCCTTCTGGGGCGTAAGGAGCAGCAGGGAGAGATTAGGTGCTTGTCAGGTACCATGACGATTTTTAACTGTGTTTAGAGTTGATGGTAAAGTTGCAATTCTAGGGGAGCCCGGGGTCTGATTTATCTCTGCCATCAGTGACTGCCCTCTCCCAGACGCTGAGGCCAGACCGTGGCCCAAGGAGACGGGAATGGACGTCTGCCCCCTTCTTGGGCACGAAGGCCACAAATGGGATATTGAGCTCCCAGGAAAGAAGGCAGCCGTGTGGAGCCATTTAATTTTGTCTGCCCCCTGCCCTATGGAGGAAGGCAGCAGTAGGTCTCGGTCCTCCGTTTGTCTCCATGGAGACTACCCGGAGCTCGTTCTGTCTCTTTTCTGAACGTCTCTAGGCTCAGCCCTGCTGGGCTGGCTCCAGGGGCCACTCTCAGGGGCCTGTGGGTGGTGTCCCAGGGGCAGACGCACCTTGCTCACTGGCCTTAGGAGGCTCAGTGCAGGGTGTTCCTTGAGACCTGGCCCTGCAGGGAGGTGGAGCCCCCACTTCCTCCAGGAGCCAGGTGCCCCAGGCCCTGACCTTGGCTGACTGCTTTGGGGGACAGAGCAGGGGGTCCAGTGTAGGCTCTCGGGCACCTTGCTGTCCTTTGGAGTCTCCATGGGGACACAGAGCCACATTTCTGTCACCCTGCCCTCTCCCTGTGTTTCTACCGGGGATCTCTCTGCACCTGGCCACTGCCCACGGCACCCAGTGGAGCCCCTGTGTGGTGGGTGACAAGCCCCAGATGACTGCGGGTCCCTGCAGTGCTGCTGGGCAGTGACCCAGGGGTGTGGCAGAGTCCCTCGTTCTGGGGCATGACCCTCTCCTCTGTGCCTTCTCCCCATTTCTGAACCATGACCACATTCCAGAGCAAATCGCCTTGGTAAGTCAGAGCCTCTGGCTTGTGGTTTCGGAAGTAGCTCCTCTGCCCGAACACTGGGCCATCCCGATCCGAACTCCACATCCACAAGGCCAACTTTGCGTGCCATACAACTTCTTGGTCACTTTCCCAGGGTCTCAGCAGAGTTGGGGAGGGGTACACCTAGGGGACCCTGCTCCCCTTCCCGACATCCGTTTCCAGACCTTCCCCTGCTTTGTGCGCCGTGCCCTGGACTGAGGCAGAGAGGGCAGTGAGAGCAGTTGCCTCAGTGCCGAGGCCGGATTCCAGGAGGCCCTGTCAGCCTCATGTGCAGCCGCAGCAACAGGCGCACCCCGACTCAGCCGTCTTCTGCTGTCTTCCAGGTTGCTACGGCATCCGCCCAGAGCTGGTCAATGAAGGCTGGACATGTTCCCGGTGCACGGCCCACGCCTGGACTGCGGTAACTCACCCCTGCAGCTGGGGTGGGACTCTGAGAGCCATCCAGCCCCTTGGGAGAGCCAGACCTGGGCCCTGGGCTTGCCAGGTCCCGCAGAGTGACCCTGGGCTGGTGGCCTCACCTCTCTGGGTCTTGGTTTCTTCACCTTGGCAGTGAGGGGGTGGAGCCGACGCACTCCTGGCTCCTCCTCTGGTGGCTGCTCGTTTGAAATGTAAGGACCAAGGGCAGGGGATGGACCAGGCCCCAGAGCAGCAGCGTGGGGGCAGCCCTCCCCTGCGCCCTCCTCACTGCGGCTTGTCTGGTCCCTGCAGGAGTGCTGCCTGTGCAACCTCCGCGGAGGAGCTTTGCAGATGACAACCGACAGGAGGTGGGTAGAAGGAAGGGGTTCCGCTCCTTTTCAGGGCCTGGGGCTGGGGGAGACCAGGAGGAGCAAACCATCACTCAGACTATCCCTTAAGGTCCTGTGAGCCCTGACTGGCCAGCAGCAACATCATGAACAAGGGCAGTGCCCATAGAGTGAAATGACATGGGGGACAGGGACACTGATGACCTCTGACCCCACCCCTTCCTGCTCTCCCCAGGTGGATCCACGTGATCTGTGCTATCGCAGTCCCCGAAGTACGGTTCCTGAACGTGATGGAGCGCCACCCTGTGGACATCAGCGCCATTCCTGAGCAGCGATGGAAGCTGGTAGGACCCTTGGATCTTGTCCTGTAAGGGAGGGAAGCACCAGGAAGCCAAGTGACATCAATTTCAGTTTGGCCAAAAGTATTACTTCTTGAATAGTCCCAGAGGCACAAGGTACAAAAGCGAGAAGGCACACAGGTGCCCAGGAATAGCAAGTCTCCCCTCTCAGGTGCACACAGCAGACTCCCGGCTCCCAGGTCTCCATGCAGAGATGGCCTTTACATGCTCTGAAGGCACATGCATTTTCTACCTTTTTCATAAGCGGAAGCCTCACACAATCTGCCCTGTACTCTTCTTGCTACCTAACTTTTTTCTTTTTTCTTTTAAGATTGATTGATTGATTTTTAGACAGAGGGGGAGAGAAGCATCAATGTGTGGTTGCATCTCGCATGCCCCCTGCTGGGAACCTGGCCTGCAACCCAGGCGTGTGCCCTACACTGGAAATTGGACCCACGACCCTTTGCTTTACAGGCCAGTGCTCAATCCACTGAGCCACGCCAGCCAGGGCTTTTTTTTTTTTTTTTTTTTTTTTTAACTTGTGGTAAAAACACTTAGCATGAGACCTTCCTTCTAAACAAAGTTTTTAGTGCACAATACAGTATTATTAACCATGGGCGTGATGTGTATGGCAGAGCATGGGGTATGTGCATTGTGGGTAACTGAGACCATATACCCATTGATGAGCAATTCTCCTCCCTGGCCTCCGCCCCTCTAGCCTCTGCTTTTCTGAGTCTGACTGTTGTATGGACCTCGGATCAGTGGAATCCTGCAGCCTTTGTCCTTCTGCGTCTGGTTCTCACTGAGCAAAATGCCGTTAAGGCTCATCCTTGTTGTCACAGATAGCAGGATTTCCTTCTTTCTCACGGCTGAGTGATAGTCCATTGTGTGTGGTTGGACCGCATCTTTATCCACTCGTCCGTCAGTGGACGCTTGGGTCGCTGCAGTGAACATGGGTGTTTGCTGGGTGGGGCAAAAGGAGGTTTACAGTTGCTTGTATGGCAAATAATACAATAATTAATAAATAATAATATAAGATAAACTATATTTCTTATACTCACAACTGTAAACTGTAAAAAGTATTTGCTCATATACTTTTCCCCCACCCCATATATCTCTTTAGTGTCCTGTTTTCATTTCCTTTGCATATATACCCAGAAGTAGAATTGCTGGGTCATATGTCAGCTCTGGGGTTTTTTTTTTTGTTTGTTTGTTTTTAAGTGGCCCAGTTCCTTTTTTTTTTTTTTTTTTTTTTTTTGTTGAGATTTTATTTATTTATTTTTAGAGAGAGGATAAAGGAGGGGGAAAGAGAGAAGCATCAATGTGTGGTTGCCTCTCTCACGCCCCCTGCTGGGGAACTGACCTGAAACCCTTTGGTTCGCAGGCCAGCACTCAGTCCACTGAGCAACACCAGCCAGGGCATCAGCTCTGTTTTTAATTTTTTGAGGAACCTCCATACTGTTTTCCATAGTGACTTCTCCATTCTACGTTCCCACCAGCAGTACACGAGGATTCCCTTTCTCCACACCCTGGCCTACATCCATGGCTGTTTTCCCTGCCGGGTTTACTTCCAAGCTGCCTGGAGCAGTCCCGCGATATTGATGCCCCTCCGGGCCTGTGGAGGGTGGGGCAGAAGGCAGAGAGCTTGTGCTGTGGGGAGTCCTGTGGGCAGGAACAGGGACACCCACCTTAAGCCCACAGGCGCTGTGCCACCAGGCAGGGCTGAGTGGGGGCTGAGGGGGACGGGGCCTCAGCATGGAGTGCCGGGCACCGATGGGCAATCAGGAAAAGGCTGGTGGCCCGCAGGTGATTAAGAGCATAAAAGCCACATCATTCAGGTGGAGTGATGGTGCGGTGCACAGCCTGTGAGCCATCCTCCCCCCAGATGCTTTATGGAGCGTCTGACATTTCCAGCTTGCAGCCTCTTCATTACCAGCACTTGTAACGATGGATTAAAAATCCTTTTACATGAGGCTTGCTTGTACTGCCTAATGGAGCTGTGCAAGGAAGCCGTAGTTAACTCCTGCTTGCCCAGCTGTCCGCCCACCTTCCCCAGGCCGCACACAGGCCACATGCTTGGGAACAGTTACTCCTGGTCCTTGTCCATCAATCTATCCCCAGTACTCCCTGGCTGCTGGCTCTGGGGGGTCCTGGTAAGTAGGGGCTGGCCCTGTCCGTCCAGTGGTCTGAGCCATGACCTCATCCCCCTCGCCTGGCTGGCACGGGTCCAGGGAAACCTCAGACACCAGACACGCCCTGTGCTCAGCTCCTGGCAGATGTCATGGTGGGGGCCTGGCCCACGTTCTGCATGATGCAGAAACTCAGAAGAATGAGTAGCCACCCAGTGGGGCAGGGAGATGATTGTGCTTTGGGACAGGCCAGGCCTCCCCTGGCTCTCTCCTGGGCCTCGGGTGGGGCAGGTGACATGTGCAAGACCTCGGGCCCTGCTGGCTCCCAGGAGGGACAGCTCCTCCCGGGACCACAGCGCAGCTGCGCTCACCTCTGCTGTGCAGAATACCCAGGCCTTGAGGGTTAATGCTGCGTGGAGCATGTTACATGTCAGTGCCTGTCACCCAGGCCAGCGGGAGAATTAGGTATTGACAGTTTAATAATGAGATATCATTGCCATTGATTGGTTCAGCAGCCCCTGCAGTGCCCTGGGCCATGGTGCTTATCTGACTTTTGAACATGGTTTACAGAGCGATAAAGGCCGCTTATTAAAAGCTCAAAGGGACGGGGACCTGGTAACTGCCAAGCTGGGGGCGTTGGGGTGGCCCTGGATGCTAAAGCCATGGGAGCAGGTCACTCCAGGCCAGGCATTCCCCCCACAGGACCCCACAGGGGATGACAGGCTTCACTCAGACCTCCCCCGCCCCCGCCCCGCCACCTTATGAAGGAAGCTGCTCTGCAGAGCTTTTTATTCACAATTAAAATTGAAATTTACCATTTTAAAGTGAGCTTAAAATTCACTATCTTTTAATATATTCACAGAGTTGTACAACTATCATCTCTAATTCCAGAACATTCTGTCACCCCAAAAAGAAACCCATCCCATTATCAGCCACCCCCTTCCGCCTCCCCCACCCCCTGGCAACCCGCTTCCTGTGTCTGTGGATGGGTCTGTGGACATGCCCGTCCTGGACATTTCACATGAATGGAGTCACACGCTGTGGGGCCTTTTGCATCTGGCTTCTCCCACTGAGCGCCATGTGTTCAGGGTCCACCCATGCTGTGGTGCGTGTCAGGGCCTCGTGCTTTTTTTTGGCTGAACGGTGTCCCAGTGTGTGGCTCTCTGGTGCTGTTCCGGGCACCTCTGCAGAGGGGCCAGTGGAGAAGAATCCTGGAAGTGCTCCTGGGTTGGTGGGGGGGCCACAGGTGGGGTTGGTGTAGGGGGCTCTCCGCTGTAGTCAAGAGCCCAGCTAAGTGGACTCCCTGGGCTTGTCTGAGGGCACCTCCAGCCAGTGAAGGCCAGGCTGCCGGGGCCTCTCCCTTCTGGCCCTGGGTCTTGGGGGTCAACCCCAGGGGACAGTCCTGGGGGCTCACTGCGGGGGGGGCTTCCAACACCAGGTACCTACATGAGTCCTGCTTCCTCTCCCTGTCACTCCAGAAATGCGTATACTGCCGAAAGCGGATGAAGAAGGTGTCGGGGGCCTGTATCCAGTGCTCCTACGAGCACTGCTCCACCTCCTTCCACGTGACCTGTGCCCACGCCGCCGGGGTCCTCATGGAGCCGGATGACTGGCCCTACGTTGTCTCCATCACCTGCTTCAAGCACAAGTCGGGGGGCCACGCTGTGAGTGCCCAGCCCTCCCGCCCCTCCCGTTGCCCATCCACCCCAGCGCTGATGCGGCCCTCTCCCCACCCCCAGGTCCAGTTCCTGAGGGCTGTGTCCTTAGGCCAGGTGGTCATCACCAAGAACCGCAATGGGCTTTACTACCGGTGCCGTGTCATCGGCACCACCACGCAGACTTTCTATGAAGTGAACTTTGATGACGGGTCCTACAGTGACAACCTGTACCCAGAGAGCATCACCGTGAGCCGCGGGCGGGCACAGGGTGGGCAGGGGCTGCTGTTAGGGAGCGGGGGGTTGCCCAGGCCCTCACAGGAACCCGTGTTCCAGGGCCACAGGCCGCCTGCAGGGGAGGACTGCGTGTTTCTGCGGACACAGAGCAGAAGGCATGGTCGGCCTAGATGAGCCTGAGCGAGGGTGGCCTCCAGGGCGGGCAGCTGCAGCCGTCCCCCACCTCCCCCCACCCTCCGCCCCTGCCCAGCACTGGCCCCTTGAGGGTCCAGCAGGGAGCGCCGCTGCCTGTCCGGCTACAGTTAGAGCACGAGCAGTGCAGAATGGGGGCGGGGTCTGAGCCTGCCGGAGCCCCCGGGCGCGGGTGTCCCGGGGCCAGCGCCTCACCTTCTGCCAAATTCTTGCCTCCAACAGAGTAGAGACTGCGTCCGGCTGGGACCCCCGCCTGAGGGGGAGTTTGTTGAGCTCCGGTGGACTGATGGCAACATCTACAAGGCCAAGTTCATTTCCTCTGTGACCAGTCACATCTATCAGGTGAGCAGGGTCCTGTCTTCCAGGTACAGGATGCAGGGGGCCTACAGGCTTCAGGAGGGGGAGGGGGTGGCTGCGCTTGTCCTATTGGGGGCTGACCAATCTTTTGCTCTCCTAAGCTAGAAAGTCAGGACTTATTATATTTTTAAGCTGGGACGAGCTTCAGATTGTCTACTGTTTTCCCCTTTACAGACATTTTCTTGATTTTGTGCATGTGTGTGTGTGGTAAGACATAGATAACATAAAATGTACTGTTTTAACCATTTTTAAGCCTACAGTTCAGTGCCCCCCCCCTTTTTTTAAATGAAGATGGTAGTGAATTTCTTCCCATGTTTGCAGAAGGGACATTATTTTACAAGTGTGGAATCTTAGAAGAAAAGCCACACATGTCCCAGCAACTACAGATGATGGCTGCGATTTTGGCTGTTTTGTTTTCTCTTACGTTGTCTGTTCCCTCCATCATTTTTAATCACATTCCTCTTCCTCCCATTGCCCTCACTTGACGAGCAGGGACAGGAGTGGGCTGGGGAGGACGCCCCCGGACCCGCACCCTCCCGGGCAGTGCAGCCACGGCAGCAGGGGGCAGGAAGGGGCGGTGCTCGGCAAGGACCTTGGGAGTCAGTCAGTGGCCCTGAGGCACCAAGACTGAGAACCGTGCCCCTTGGCAGGTGGAGTTTGAGGACGGGTCCCAGCTGACAGTGAAGCGTGGTGACATCTTCACCCTGGATGAGGAGCTGCCCAAGAGGGTCCGGTCACGGCTGGTGAGTGGCCGCACAAGGCGCGCCTGGGGGGAGCTGCCCACAGCAGCCCTTTGTGGGCATCAGGGGTGTGACCTCGGCCTTCCCGCCTGGGCCTTTGCTCCCACTGGGGGGCAACCGAGGGCGGTGCCCAGGGAGCAAGTCTGTTCTGTGGCAGATGGGGCGAGGAGGTGGGCCCTTCCCGTGACAGCCCAGCGAGGGGGATAAGCCTGCTCCGCCGGCCTGCTGGCCGCACTGTGGGCACCTCGCACTTGGAACGTCTGCCGCCTGCACACAGAATCTGAACTCCAAGGCTGTCGGTGCAAAAAGAAAGGCTTTTCCAAAGCTCATCCCTTTTCAAAGGGAACAGCAAGTCCCAGAGGCAAGAAGCGACCGGCCTTTTCTCCCGGCCTGCTGCTGTTCTCTTTCTTTTGTGTTTAATCCAAAGACCAGGTTTTGAGGAGCAGGCAGCTGCGGCTGTGGGTGAACGGGCTCGGCGTGAACGCTGGTGGGGGTTGCACAGCCGACCTCAGACCGGTTCCCTTGTGGGGAGCGGACAGGGAGCCGCCAGGCAGATGAGCAGCTGCGCGTCCTGCGCTGGAGGCCCGGCCCTCCTCCTGGCCGGCTGTCTGCGGGGCGGGGCCAGCCTGCGGGGGCCAGTGCCTGGAGGCGCGGGCCTCCGTGCCCGCCTGCTGGGAGGCCCACATGCGGGTTGGGGCTTTACATGGAGACAGGAGCACTGAGAAGCCGTCCCCAGTGACTGGCCCTCTTGGAAGGTCATTAGGTGAGGGACAGTGGCCCCTGGCCCTTACAGGGCAGGCATGTGGCCCAGCCAGGCGCCGAGTGGAGGCCCTGTCTCAGCCTGTCCAGGCCTCTGTAACAGATACGCCATAGACCGGGCGACCCACACAACACACGGTTCTCACAGCCCCAGGAACTGGGAAGTCCAAGATCAAGGCGCTGGAAGATCTGGTGTCTGATGAGACCCACTTCCTGCTTCACAGACAGCCCCCTTCTGGTATCCTCACGTAGCAGAGAGAGAGAAATGGGGAGAGAGGGAGCGCGCACGCAAGCAAGCCCTCTCTGGGGTCCGTTTTATAAGGTTACCAATCCCACTCGTAAGGGTCCTGCCCTCGTGACCAGTGCCTCCCCAGGACCCCGCCTCCTCACACCCTCCCACTGGTGGGTAGAGCTCCAGCCCTGGATTTTGGGGGACACAAACCTTCCGTGTGCAGCACCCCCTTCTGCACTGACTCCCGTGCTGTCTGGTTCCTCGCAGTCTGTGAGCACCGGGGCACCGCAGGACAGCGTCTTCTCAGGAGAGGAGGTGAAGGCCGCCAAGCGCCCGCGGGTGGGCACCCCACGCGCCGCCGAGGACTCGGGGCGGAACCCAGACTACCTGGCCTTCATGGAGAGCCTCCTGCAGGCGCAGTGCCAGCCCAGAGCCCCGTTCTAAGACAGCCAGCCAGCCGCCCAGCCACCCCTCGGCCCAGCAAAGCAGGCGGCAGCGGGCCCTGGCATTTGCTCGCTGTGAATTCCTGTCCTCGCCTCCCCGCCCCGAGAGGCTACCTCCATGCCCTGCGTGGACAGGAGCAAGCAGGACGCTGACAGCGGCCCCAGACTCAGGGAGTGGGGCCACGCCGGCTCTGGGGGGCCGGTTGGGGCTCACGCCACCCCCACTACTCAGATTCGTAAACCACGTAAGCTCTTCTTCTCGAAAAGGTGCTACTGCGTTGCCTGCCTCCTGAGCAGCCTTTGAGATTGTGACTTCTGTACATAAATCACCTTTGTGAGGTTCTTTCTATAAATACCTATTGTTTAAAAAAACGCAAGGAAAAAAGGAAAACAAAGAAGAGGAAAAAAATCCCTAAAGTTGTTTTCTAGATTTGTGGCTTTAAAAACAAAACAAAACAAAATGTTCTTTTTATCAGAACCAAGATGTGCTGAGGGAGACAAAAGCATCTCATTTTTTGTTGTTGTTGTTGTTGTTGTTTTAAAACCTTACTCATTTGTGAGCAGGCAGGGAAGTGCGGTGAGTCCTAAGCGGGGAGGGGGCGGGCAGGACACCCAGCGACAGGCGATGTGCCCTGTCCCTCTGCTCTCTTCCCAACGTCATGAAAGTCTGAGCAGCTGGCATCACCTGCTCCCCCCGAGGGCCCACAGGCCAGTCCCCTCTGTGCTGGGCAGGAGGAGGCTGCAGTACCTCTTGGTGGCCGCCTGCTGGCCACAGGCATCCCTCCTGTCTGCGATTGCCTTTGCAAAATAAACAATCTCTTCTGGTTTGTTCCATCTTTTGCTTCTTCCCCCATGAGACCCATTCCACAGCTGAGGCCTATGGTCTGTGCGAGGGCTCGGTGCAGGCTGAGTGTCCCTGACGCTGCCCAGGCCACCATTAGTCTGCTCAGGGTGGGTGACCTCCTGCAGCCGGAACAGGTGGGTGCCTGGCTTCCTGGGAGGGAGGACATGGAGCTGAGCCAGGCCTTCCAGGTGCCCCAAGACCCGCTGTTCCCCTGCTTAATGAGGCCTATGTCCCCAGGCTCCCAGGTGCCTCTGCTTTGGCTGCGGCCCTCTGTGTCTGGGGGAATGGGGAGGGCTCCCTGGGACCCTGAGGGGCTGGCAGCGTCCTGTGTGTCTGCCTGCGACCCGTGTGTCTGCCTGCGACCCGTGTGTCTGGGAGAGAGCAAGCAAGAGAGGGCATCGCTGCTTTCAGGTGGAAGGAACTCTGCCCCCTGCGAATTATGGGTTGAATCGAAGAGCGAGAAGAAACCTGCTTTTCACACGAGCGTGGGAAGGACACCGCCAGCTCAGCTGCCTGCCTTCTCCATCCCTGCTGTCCCTGCAGAAGGATTGAGAGCGTTATTTGCGTGTATAAAAATTTTTTTAATTAAAAAAAAAAAGTGTTCTAACGGTTGCCAGGCCAGAGAGAACTATTGAAGGAAAATGGAGAGTTTGTAAATGAGCCAAGAACCTCTCATCTCGGTGGGGGGAGGAGGGCGGCGCCCAGGCGTGCGGCGTGCGGGAGGGAGCGCGGGCAGTCAGCCGGACTCGGGGGTCTCCCTCTGCATGCAGCAGCCCCGCCTGGTGGCGCCGCACTGTATCCATATGTAGTTTGGAAATGCTATTTATATTGTAAAGAGAATAAAAAGAAGCAGGTAGATGCCTCTCTGGCCCTTGGGGTCCTCAGGGTTCCAAGGAACAGCCAGCCCCGCGGCGGGGCCTCTGGGTCGCGCCCCTGTCTTGGGTTTCCAGACGTCTTGTACAGACAGGCCGCCGCACAGCCAAGGGGAAATGCACATTTCCCCGCCAAGATACATCTGTGTCTCTGTGCAGAAACGGAACCCGCCCACCGTGATTCTTTTCCGACCCGAGGTTAAGGTTGCGCTGTATTTTTGCCTGATTTCCCTGCCTCTAGGCTCATAATGATTAAAGGCTCATGAGCACTGCGATTGCAGGTCCCTGTCATTGGCGTGTCTTCATTTCTGAGTGGTGCCCAGGAGGCGGGATGGCAGTCTCCCCTGGGGGGAGCAGGCGTGGGACTCCCCAGGCTGCGGGGCTGGGCGGCAGGGGCCTCCTGCCCTCAGGGTGGAGGAGGGCGTCTTCCCAAGCTAGTCGGCCACACCTTGTATCTGTATGGACGCCTCCCCAGAGGCTTCCTGGTCCCCTCTCAGGCAGGGAGGTGGCAAGAGGGGGCTGCAGCCCTGGGTCCCCTCTGCAAGACCATCAAGGCAGGACTCTTTCTTTTTACCCCTGTCTTGTCTGGAAAATATGGCTGTCCTCCCCTCCTGTCCTCTCAGCCTCTGCCCAGTTCCTCTGACGTCTACATGGTGGGCGTGTATTGGGTATGTGAGACAGTGGGGTCTCCTGGCCCTGGGATGAGTCTCGGCCCCCGGCATGCGTGAACATGTCACTCCTCTAACAAGCACTGAGAAATGGCACCAACGCAGCTGACGCCAGTGAGAGAGGCAGACAGTAAGAGATATGGGCCATCCCCTGCGATGCCAAGGACAAGGGGGAACGTGATAGGATATGCTGTTACTGGTGTCCTGTTTTACACAGGAGTCCTGAAGGAGATGAGTGAGGCATGGGGACAGCCTGTGCAAAGGTCCTGGGGCAGCACTGTGCCTGACATGATGGCAGGAGGAGCATCCAAGAGGCCTGCATAGCTGGAGCAGAGTGGGTGTCGGGGAGAGGGAGGAGGTGGCAGCCGCAGGTCATGCAGGGCCTTGTGGGCCGCAGGGAGGACTTGGGCTCTTACCCTAAGGGAGGTGGGAACCCTGGAGGGCTGTGGACTGAGGAGGGGTGAGGCCTGGCTCAGGTGCTCACAGGTGTCCTCTTGCTGCTGCAGCGAGGACAGCGGGGGGCGGAGGGGCGACGGGGGTGGGGGGGGCGCTGGGGAAGGCACCGAGCACATGGAAAGATGGCCCCGCTGTGAGCTGGAATGGGGCCGGCAAGGGATAAGGAGAGACTGACAGCTCGGATTGAACACCATCCCCTCGCGAGAAGATACATAGGTCTGGGGGTCAGGGGAGGTCTTTAGGAGATCTTGGCTCACAGGTGATATGTTTACTGGACTGGGGAGAGGGGGACCCAGACTGGGCCCCCAGGGTGTTCGCGCAGGAAGGCGAGGAGAAGCAGCCTGTGATGGGGCACACCCCGCTCCGAGCCTCGGTTCTTCCTCTGTGGAACACATGTCCTCCCAGGGCAACTGTGTCCTGAGCAGAGATTTCCTCTCATAGAATTTCCACCCAGCCACACCCACCCTCACCCCACTTCTTAGACCCACCTTTTCAGAGAAGCTGCCTTCCACAGCACCCGACTCCATTTCCCCATTCGCTACGGGGCCTGTGCGTCACCAACCAGACAGATGAGTGTCCCTGAGGCTGCGCAGAGCTTGGTGGGCACGTCCGCCCTCAGCCTCGGGGTGGGGCCACACAGCACAAGGAGCAGACCCAGGTGGTCTCGGCACGGCTGCAAGATGGCCCGTCTATACCGTCATTCTCTGAAACATCATAAAACAGAGGCATTTGGGACAGGCCCTCATGGCCGGCAGCCAGGGCCGAGACACTGGGCTGGGTCCCCGAATGCGCAGCCGTGCGGAGCCACGGGGACCTCTCACCCCGGCACTGGGCCCTGTGCTCAGCACCGGAGGTTGATTCATGTATTCACGCAGCAAATACCTACACAGCTGCCTCGTGCCAGGACCTGGGGGGTGGCTGAACAAAAGGGAGACACAGTCACTGCTGTTGTGGAGTTGAGGGTTTAGGAAAGCCAGCAGGAATATCAGGGACCGTAAATACACCTCTGACTTGGCATCCTGTCAGGTAGGGTGTCAGGGAGGCATCTAAGGGAGTGATATATAAATGGATCCAAAGCCTCAAGGGATCAGGAAGATGGGGGAGGGGAGGGGCCAGGGGTGCATTGTGCTGAGCACCCCATCCTCCTAGGGTAAGGCCCCACAACCTGAAGCCTTTGGGCCAAATCCAGCCTTCCGCTTGTTTATAAATAAAGTTTTATTAACAGAGCTATGCCCATTCATTTACATTATCTATGGCAGCTTTCACTCTACAACAGCAGAGCTGAGCAGTAGGAACTGAGACCCCCGGTCCCAAAAGTCAGACGTATTTAGCACCTCGTCATTTACAGAAAAAAATAGCACCCATCCCAGACCCATAGACCTAGGGGGCCTCTGCACCTTCTCTGTGCCTCTGACAAAATCATTCTCCCTCGGCGGCAGCCCTCAGTGCCCAGGCCCACCTTGCCTTTCAAAGCTCCAATTAGGCCCTCTGGGTCCTAGCAGATCCCCTCCCCCACCCCACCCCGAGCCCCAAGAAGCCTGGCAGAAGGACAGAGAAGACTGGCCAGGGACCCTCCATTCATCCGTCACCCACCCACTGGGGGTGCTGCGCCCCACAGCTCGGGCACCCCTGCTCCTGGTGCTGACTGCTGGCTGGAGAACCAAACACGTCTGGTGTCCAACCCCTACAAGCCACCCACGTGCCCAAGTGACCAGCCTTGGCCGGTGCAGCTGAGGATTTGGGCCTCCATTGGCCTCGCAGTGCTGGCGTTCGCAGCTTTGATGACGGTGCTGAAATCTCTGTGTCTGCTCCTCTCCACTCCCCCCTCTGGCTGTTGCCACCCCTGCCCCAGTGAGACCAAGAGGGGAACCCTGGCACCCGCCCCAGAGAGCGTTCCTTAGGGATTAGGTTTGCTTAGCACTTCCGCTCTGTTAATGGAGAAAATGAGAATTGTCTGCTGCCACCGGCAGAGGAGGGGTGACCCCGGCGTCTGGCAGAAGCCAGGCACGGAGGCGTGAGTGTCTGGGTGCCCGGTGTCTCTTCAGTGCAGCATCCATCCTGCTGCTCACCCCGTGACAGGGACAAACGACTCTCCTCCCAGCCGCCTCCTGGGGGGGCAGGGGCAGGGCCCCCCAACGGGTGGCCACCCATGCCTTGCCCCAGTGAGAAAATCTGGTTAGCCATTCTGTAGCTACTTCACGTGACTGCTGGGGTTGAACACATGAGTTAATCAGTCGTGAGTGATGGACCCAGGCCCCTCTGAGTCAGAGAAAAAATGACGCATAGTCGGGGGACGTGAGGCTGGAATGAACCTCATGCTGGGCTAGAAGCGGAATGCCAGTGGTAATCCCTGGCTTTTGACATGTGGAGAGGGCTTTTATAGGTAGATAGAAATACATAGACAGTACAGACAGATACAGAAGTGGATATAGGTGTGTGTGGGCATGGATACTCTGATGCGCCAGTAGCAGTGAGCACACCTGGCACCTGGATCTTGATTTCTAAATACCATTCTCTAATAAAGGAACCAGATCCTTGGAGAAATCATTAATTTTATGCCTGGGGCTGGAAAAATGCATAATAAATTTGAAATACCTTGTGTTGTGAGAAAGTAGGAAATTGAAAAGAAAAAAGAAAGAAAGAAAAAGAAAAAAAAGATGCAGACCTGTAGAAAGGACACAGGACCCAAACCTAAGCCACACCCAATGGCCAAGGCCAGAAAAATTTGAACGAGATAAATTGCAGGGTTGGAGTAAACCTATTTATAGACTATAAAATACCCAAATTGCTACAAATACTTGAATTGATAAATAAGTGGGCTGGGGGAGGAGGGACGGCTCTTCCTAACAGATGATCTCTAAAGATGAACAGCTGTAGGCGGGAAGAAGGGAAAGTTTACATTCAGTCACTCAGCAAACACTGACAGGGTGCCTTTGTTGTCTTGGCTCCGCTCCAGGAGCATGGGCTCCACTGGGGCAGAAGACAGGCAAAAACGTCCCTGCCCCTGGAGCCGCAGACTCTCAGGGAAGGCAGACAAGATAGATAACCAAGTTATGGAGCAGGTTAGAAGATGGTGAATGCTACACGAAAAAAGGGGTGCTCGGGTATGATTTCTATGTAGGATATTCAGGATCTCACTGAGAAGGTGGCATTTAGGTAAAAACCTGGAGGAGTGAGTCAGGTGTGTGTCTGGGAGAAGAGAGCTCTGAGTGGAAGGCATAGCCTGTGCAAAGGTCCTGAGGCAGAACCATGCCTGGGTGTTAGAGGAACAGTGAGGACGGCCGTGTGGCTGAAGCACAATGAGCGAGGGGAGAGAGGGAGGAGGTA